GCAGATTCTGGTGCTTGCGTTCAAGATGGATGGAATTTGAGGTACAAGGAAATCATAGCAAGAGTTAGGGCAGCCAGGCCCGGAACACAGAAGGCCTCATATGTCATACTCAGCGATATGGACCTTTCCTGTAGGCATCACAGTTGACATGCTCGACCTTATGCTTCTAAAAATTAAGCTCTGGTAGCAGTATGGAGACCTGACTGGCAGAGAGGACAACCTGAAACAAAATCGTAAGGATGCTATTCCAGTAATCGAGGAGCAGAACTGAGCTGTGGGAATAAAATGGCAGTAAGAGAGACAGTATGGAGACAGAACCTCCAGGTTTTCAGTGAGAGAGTGGTAGGGTCCAGGTTCTCTCTTGGCTGCTGGATGGATAACAGCACCCTTTTTCAAGGTGAGGAATATCACTGGAAGGACAGATTTTGGAATAAAGATAGCATTTAGTTTTAAAAGCTGTAGAAGTGGAGCTATCTGGTATGAAAATGGGTATCTGTTTGTGTGTCTCAGGGGACATGTTAGGACTGAGTATGTAGATTTGTAAGTCATCATGTTGGTGCCGACCGGAGCCTGGGGAATAGATACATCATCCAGGTCTACCATGTGGAGTTAAAAGAGAAATAAGTGAAGAGTACAACCTTGCAGACTCATCAATATTTGAGCAGAAAAGAAGAGTCTGGTGGGCACAACCCACCCCGTGTTTCTGAGTGGGATTTCCCAGCAGTGTGAGATTTCAAGAACATCCATGGGTAGGTGGGTAACTGGAAAAGAGAGGCGAGAACACCGAGTAGATTTGAGGGCAGCAAGAGCTGATCTTGCTTGTCAAGTGCAGCGCAGAGGTGGAGTAGGATAAGAATTAGAATGGGTCGTTTGGGCCTTATAGCTGGGAGATCACTGGTGACCCTCGACAGGGCGTTTTCTGAGCAGTGTGGGGAAAGGAGCCTGTTGCACTAGGTGGAAGACAGGTGCCGGACTATCCGAGCAAGGACAGGTGCAGTGAGGGGTGGCTGTACTCACCAGACAGCTTGGAACAGAAGTGCTCTGCCCCTAGGTGAGAAGTTGAGCCAGTCATTTAACCTTTCCCCTTGTTGGCTTCCAGTCTGTAAGATGAGGAGGACTGGACTATTTCTAGTTATCTTCCAGCTGCATAATTTCAATGACTTACGGAGTCAATGGATGGATGGTTGGACAATTGGATGTGAGAAGGGACTGAGATGCCACTGAATTCTAAACTCATTTGAGACCTATTAAAAATCGAATTTGTAAGGATTAGCTACGCATTAGGGTAGTTTCCAAAGTATCTATTAATTTCAACCAAAAATCTAGACCAATAAGCAGACGGTAACCCAACATTTCCTAAGACCTGTTCCACGAACACCAGCTCAGTAAAATGTAATAGGTATTAGATAAAACTTTTAAGAAATGATTTTTGGTCAAATAAATTTGGGAAACAGAGTCTTAACTAAATCAATTTTTTTTCTTCCAAGGTTTTATTTAAATTCAAGTTAGTTAACATATAGTGTAGTATTGATTTCAGGAATACAATGGAATATTACTCAGCCATCAAAAATAATGAAGTCTTTCCATTTGCAACCATGTAGATGGAACTAGAATGTATTATGCTCATTTGAAATAAGTCAGTCAAAGAAAGACGAATACACTATGATTTCACTGATATGTGGAATTTAAGAAACAAAACAGATGAACATAGAGGAAGGGAAGGAAAAATAAAATAAGATAAAAACAGAGAAGGAGGTAAACTCAAATTTCTTGTTTTGCTACATAACTTATCAAGTTCTCTACTATAGTAATATGCACTGTGATTTTCTGACACTTATTTGACCACTTTGTTTTCTTTTATTTCATCTTATTATATTCAATTCACAGCATTTCTGGAGACTAACATTCTGGTTAGCGTACTTTAGTAGACACTGGTCCACTACATTGTCCAAACAATGAAGAAGGAAACTTGATTGATGAGACGATCCCCAGATGACATATCAATTAGACTGTGACCTGTTCGTTGTACATGCTCTTCAGATTCTTCAGAAGTTTCATTGTTTCATCAACGGCTGTATGAGATCCCCAAATGACATATCAATTAGACTGTGACCTGTTCGTTGTACATGCTCTTCAGATTCTTCAGAAGTTTCATTGTTTCATCAACGGCTGTATGAATGCACTGCTTTGTTAACTCAGCAAGCCAAGAGTAGTAGTTAATAGGTTAGCACCTCTGTGGCTGAATGATTTCATTGCAAATCGGGATCACAGCCCAATCCTGGATCCAGTAGCTGAATTCTATCACAGTGAGTGGAGTGATTGCTTTTGCAAACAGCATTCATCTCCTCCCGTGATGTATGTATGCTATGAAATGTGTCTTCGGGGACCAAGAAACACAAAGCTGAGACTGTTGCCTCAAAGTGACTGCAGACTGGGAACTTAATGCAGTCCACAGGTGGGAAAGGCATAAGGCTCTGCTCTGGCTTCCCAGTCTCTGTGCTGTGAGGCAAGAAGCAGCTGAGGCCAGACCTAGAATCCTTGTTACCTTTCCTTTAAGAATTCTTTTCCTCTCAACTCCGCTTGGTTGGTGCTCTTCATAAAATGCCACAGTCAACGTGTTTCCCAGGAAAGAGCTATAATAATCTATTCCCCCAAGCCCCCCTGATTAGGACTGGTGGGTCTCTGGAACTTAGCCCTGCACAGCACCAAACAGCCCCTGGAGCCTGGCCTTGTTTCCTGGTCTCTCCCCTGGACCCCTTCTTTCTCCTTCTTTCTTTTTATTCTTATTTTTGTTTGCACTGTCTGATCACTTTTAAAGTATACAACAAACCTCTCCCTTTTTCCTGAGATAAAATCAATCATTAGATCTCATGCTGTATGTTTCATTTGGGGTGAAGTTTTCTTAATTAAATCCTCTTACCCTTCCCCCAAATGAAAGGGATTTGCCATTTTTAAATACCTCTGCCACAATCATGTCTGTTTCATTTATGGAGGTAAGAGATCTCTTAACTACTCGTGCTTCTCTATTCAGAAGGGTTTAGAGCCATGTATAAAAAAAAAGAAGCTTATGTGGGGCATGCCCTATTCCGGACCATTCTTTAAAAAGAAGATGTGAGGATTTTTTTTTTTTTTTTTGTCCTGGAAGATCCTAGATGGGAAGATTCTTTAGGTAATTAACACTTAACTTTTACATATGCTATAGTGACAAATAAATGGAAACATTCTAAATGTACAGCAGTAGTGGAATAGTTAAATGCTGTCAGATCATGAGCATGGTGATGTTTAAAAATAATCAGAGAGTTGATGGGTGCCTGGGTGGATCAGTCGTTTAAGCGTCCGACTTCGGCTCAGGTCATGATCTCGCGGTCCGTGAGGTCAAGCGCCGTGTCGGTCTCTGTGCTGACAGCTTGGAGCCTGGAGCCTGTTTCAGGTTCTCTGTCTCCCTCTCTCTCTGACCCTCCCCCCGTTCATGCTCTGTCTCTCTCTGTGTCAAAAATAAATAAATGTTAAAAAAAATTTTTTTTAAATAATCAATGAGTTGCAAAACTATTAATGATCTATTACAGGAGCTAATCATTTTCAAAACATAGTATGAGCTTAGTGTTGTAAACCGTCACTATGTATGTCTAGAAACAGAGGAAAACTGGAAGGAAAAGCCACGCAGATATACATGCGAGAACCCAGTAGTTGAGAACATAAAATCTGGTCCTAAAGGGAGCTTGAGTATACTTCTGTTCTCTCTCTATCTGTGTTGACTTGAGAGAAGTATGTTTACCTTTTGGAGACTTAGTTGTTGTTGTTTTCATATGTAAAAGGAGGATAAATAATAATACCTATCTCTATATGGTGGTTGGTTGGATGAAATACTATATACCAAGCTCTTAATACAGAGCAATTGCTCAGTTGTAGTAGATATTATTAACAATGCTTTCATTTACCAAAATGTTAACAACGGTCATTTCTAGGCAATGGGGGTCTTGCTTTTTATTATATTTTATGTTTTTTTTTTTTTAATGTCTCTTTTTGAGACAGAGAGAAACAGAGCATGAGTGGGGGAGGGGCAGAGAGAGAGGGAGACACAGAATCCGAAGCAGGCTCCAGGGTCTGAGCTGTCAGCACAGAGCCTGATGTGGGGCTCGAACTCATGAACCATGAGATCATGATCTGAGCCAAAGTCAGACACTTAACCAACTGAGCCACGCAGGCGCCCCCCATTTTATGTTTTTATCAAAATATATAATGTATACAATATAAATGAATAGAGTATGTATTTGATCACGTGCTTAGTTCCTAAACGAGTTTATCTCTGATAAACATTGAATCACTTTCATTTGACTTCTATAAAGAAGGCAAAGAGTAGTATCCCTTTGGCATGGAGAAGGAATGCATTGGCCATGGGAAACCCCCCAGTGAATACAGTTTGTTAGTGTCAGGCTTTACACTTGAACTCAAATCTTCCAATTCTAAGTTCACTGTCCATTCTCCAAGGTTGGAGGAAGAAACATATTAGATCTACCTTTCTTGGAACAGTATGGAAAACAAAATCAACTAAGTATTCAAAATAATGAAGAGGTCCTGCATTCAAGGACTGCTTTAACATTTTCTCTTTTTTTCTCTAGCTTTGATTTACGTCTAAGGTAAACTATCTCCCAGCTGCTAGTATGTGCTTCAGCTAGATTGCAGACACCTGTATCTGTGCTGCACATGTGGCTTATTTAATAACAATATGGATCATTAGCATGTTTTAGGAGTGAGAATTGGGTTAGGATCCTTTATAGTATTTCAGAAACTCCAGTGAAATCGTGGAACATTCCTGAATCTTAGTACATTATATAAGATTCTGAGATGGAGGGAAAGCTTTCCAGTCCCTTCTAGGCAGAAACTGAGGATCCCTTTTTAAAAACTCATTAAGAAGATTCAGAAATACTTTAAGATAGTGTAACCATAGAAATAGAAAAACAACTAAATTTCCTCCCTCTTTTTTTTTTTTCCCTCCGTAGCTTAAAGGGAGCTGATGCCGGCAATGGGATCAGAGTGTTTGTGCCTGATATCGGGATGTTCATTGCTAGTCTGACCATCTGGCTCGTCTGCAGGAACATCGTTCAGAAACCCGTGACCGAAGAAGGAGCACAGTATAACTCGGAGTTTGAAAATGAAGAATTGGTAAATCTGACGTCCTGCATCCCTCTTCCTTCTTTGATTTCTGAGAGCCTTGACCCTTAATAAGTTGTGGAGAAGTGAAATGTGCATAGCACTTAGGCTCTGCAAAGCCTGGCTTAAATGTTCACAGTTACTTTGCACAACCCTCCCTCCCCCGGTGTAGTTCTGATGGGTAGGCAGTCTCCTCCACACCTTGGCCACCAGGAGACAGTTCAAGGAGTGTGAACACTGCCATTCATGAGGCATTCACCCCAACCCAGTGTTCTTTTTACTCTCATCTAATATTATCTCTGATGGTTAACCTTTTAAAGTCATTATATTGTGGCCCGTTGTCTAGATACCTTAGTCAATACAAAATATTTAGAGAAGTAGCACCTGGTAGTTTTAGGAGAAAAAAGTAATTCCTTCCTGAAGGGAAGCTTTCTGGTCTGTGTACTTTGCTCTTCAGAGAAGAATTGTGTTCAGAGCATGCTTTGATCATTATTTTAAAGCAATCCGGGGCGGGGGGTGGGGGAGGAATACACACACACACACACACACCCCTTTGGAAAAGTATAAGAATTGGAAAAAGGTAAAAATAATGAGGAAAATGTATGTTAATTTTTATCTATGTGTTTTAGTAGAAAGAGTTTCAGGAGGAGCAGGGAGCACATCAGATCTCACTCCGTGTATGAGAGCAAGTTGGACAGCTCGTCACTGTCCCCAGATCTGTTTCAGAATGTTGCTCTGTTCTAACACTGTACTTTGTTATGTGAGTTTCAGTGACGTTGATTTAAAAAGTAATTGATTTGGTAATTGAAAGATGAAATTTGCAAAGGAAAAAATATTGAAAAGACTTACTCTGGACATTTGACACGAGAGACACAACTAGCAAATGTTTTTACTCAGAAGTTCGGCAAGAACTTTCACCTGCAAAACTGGGGTGAATTGAAATCAGTTATTTTGAGAATGGTAATCACAAGGGCATCAGGGAAGACAATTCTCAGTTATAGCAAATGACTTACTTATGTGCCTCAAAAATAGGTAGCAAATTGCCGTGTATGGTTATTAAAAAAAACAATAAAGAAAGCGAAGATATAATTCAATAAATCCATACAGACTAGAAATGATATTACTACCTAAAATCATTATGGGTAAAAAATAAATGATCACATTGTATATCAATATTCTGCTTTTTTAAAGGCAGACGTTAACAAGTACTTGGTGTAAAAAGCAATTATAGCAAGATAGCAACTAACCTTATCTTTCATTTATGTGTACAAACTCTGTAGGACTTATCAGTGTCTTAAAAACGGGTAAAACTATGAAAGTGCCTTTTCTTCTTGTTGGCTTCACAATTTTAAAGCAGAACAAATTTTAATTTCTACTTTTACATTTGAATTTTATTTATAATAGTTACAGTTTTGAAAATAATCTGGCTTTGATAATTACTGCCCAAAATTGTCCAAGTTTGGTGAAAGTAAACCCAGGAACTTGAGCTCTCCAGGCTTAGGATTTTTCATTACTATTATTTATAAAAGCAAGACTGGTTTTCCGTTATCCTCATATTACGGATAGAGGGTAAAGGATGCTTATTGCAAATTGAGTGGACTCAGAAGGCAGACTTGGAAGCTACCTAACAGTGTTAGTGTGATGTCGAGAAATGTGTTTATTCTCTTTCTTCTGCAAAATGAGGATGATCATAATCCTACATCATAGAGTTGCTGCAACCACTAAATGAAATGTCAAATAAAACACGCCTAGGGCAGCGGCTGCTCATTGGGCTGCTTAATAAGATGCTACTTGCTCTCCGCATCCTGCTCTTCTCCAATTGGAAAGTTACTGGAGCAATTTCAAATTCCGAGTCCTCTTAGAATGATAGAAAGTTAAGCTGGGCGGTGTGTTTGAGGCCAACCTACTCAGTATGAGTCTCTTATTCGTCACTGAGCCATAAATGAATCACAAAGCTTCTTAGGAAAAGAACTTCTGTCACCGAGGACAAACGCTCTTTTGCCATAGGACTAAGAAAGCCTACACTGACTGATGGAAGGTCATGGATATCAGGTTATGGTTGAGGTCACACATCTGGTGAAGAAGAGAACACAAAACCATCACATGGATTAATTCTAAAATCATGTTTCCTTCCTGATTTCTCACAGCTCTCAAAGATACACTCAGGACACCTCTCTCCTGTTTAAAATTTGTTTAAATATCTGTACTCCCTATATTATCAATCACATTATTTAAAAATTACAATAAATTGGGGCACCTGGGTGTCTCAGTCGGTTAAGCGTCCAACTTCGGCTCAGGTCATGATCTCACGTTCTGTGAGTTCGAGCCCCGCGTCGGGATCTGTGCTGACAGCTCAGAGCCTGGAGCCTGCTTCAGATTCTGTATGTCTGTCTCTCTCTGCCCCTCCCCTGTGCTCTCTCGCTCTCTCTCTCTCAAAAATAAATAATAAATATTAAAAAATTTAAAATAACAATAAATTGATAGACATTCTATATTACTTATTTGGGGATTTGAAAATACTAAATATTATTATGAGGTCGATTTCTTTCTCATTTACATTTGTTTTGGCCTCCTTTAGATATTAATTTCCATCCTCTTAGCACATTCCAGCCCACCAGGTGGCCAGGGAGAAGCAGGCTGGTGTGTGAATCTTCTGAGACGAATCCACAAGGAAATATTTCTAACATGTGAACAATCTTGCTCAAGTCTGAAAAGAATAGAAACACACGGCCAAAATAAGTAGGGAAGTTATTTTGTTTTGGAAGGTCCCAACATATTTCTTCCCTTTTATAAATCTTGACATTTGCACCAATGTTTGTTTTTTGAGGATCCTTTGAAAAAATAGTGCTGCAGGCATTTCTTCTCCTTTCATTTATCTCAATAGAGAAACGGCGAGATTAATCCATTGGTGCCTGAGAGACTTTTTTTCAAATCCAGCATTGTTTTAAACTAGCAACTAATCTCTGGAGAAGACTCCTGCGTCTTTCGTAACCTTCCTCGACTGGATAGTGAGGCTCAAGTTTGGTGTTTTAAAGGGCATCGCAAATCCCAGAATTCCCCCCAGAAATCCCCAGGGGAAGTCAGTGGGTGGGAGAACCTGTTTCGCTTTTGCATTGTACAGAGAACAGACCTCAGTAAGGGAGCCAACCCCTCAAGTACCAGGAAGGTTCTCTTTAACTGACACATCTGTGGGCTTGTTTACCTGTTCATTGTAACTCAGAAGCACATCTACAAATCGTAACTGGGAGAAAGATTCCTAATCTTAAATCTTAAAAAACAAACAAACAAAAAAGTTATGTTATGAAAATTAAATTGTGTAGAAAAGGGCTTCCTGCTCAAACACTTCGTAATTTCACCAAACTGCTATTATCTTGTGTATTTCTGTAAAACTAGCTCTTTCTATTTAATGAGATTTCAGGCTTTATTTTTTTGGGAAACAAATAGTATTTTAATATATTATGAAAACAAATTTATGATAAACTAAATGTTTATTCAAATAGGAATTTTAGTCATGACTTGGTCTGGTTAAATAGTCTGACAAATCAAATGTGAAGCATAAAAAAGAATATTTCAGGGGCACCTGTGTGGTTCAGTTGGTTGAACATCTGACTCTTGATTTCTGCTCAGGTCATGATCCCAGGGTCATGGGATCAAGCCTTGCACTGGGCTCCATGCAAGCGTGGAGACTGCTTGAGATTGTCTCTCTCTCTCTTCCTCTGCCCCTCTCTCCTGCTTGCGTGCTCTGTCTCTAAAACAGCTTTTTTTTTTTTCAACGTTTATTTTTGGGACAGAGAGAGACAGAGCATGAACGGGAGAGGGGCAGAGAGAGGGGGAGACACAGAATCGGAAACAGGCTCCAGGCTCTGAGCCGTCAGCCCAGAGCCCGACGCGGGGCTCGAACTCACGGACCGCGAGATCGTGACCTGAGCTGAAGTCGGACGCTTAACCGGCTGCGCCACCCAGGCGCCCCAAACAGCTTTTTTTTTAAATATAATTTAAAAAAAAAAAAGAATATTTCAGTGTAAGTCATCCGCCATCCGTTAAAAGTTTGGGGATTCAACATTTGGATCCTGCTAACGTTATCTGGAAATTCATTCTGAGCCTCAAAACCTGTGCCCTCCTTTCTAAAATCTAACGTGAACCAGGCTCCTGTGGCATCCACATTCTGGCACATAAAATGACCAATGGGGCTATGCCTCAAGTTTCAGCTTTGAGGTTCAAGTTACTATTTTTTTTTTTTTTGGAAGAACAACAACAACCAAAAAGAATGAAAGAAACCCATCGTTTTGTTGTCACCTTCTCAATAAGCATTCAGCATCTCCCCTGAGATGTAGTCCAAAATCACTTGCTTTAAGTGATCAGATTTAAGACAGATCACTGTCTTTTCAGGTCTTTCCAGTGGCATTTGGAATGTTAGCAAGTGGGGACAACTGCTTCCCCCCGCCGAAATGCAGCACGCTTGGTCTGTCTTCTCTGGGTTAAACACATTTACAACTTGGGGGAACCTTGATGGTGGTGATTTTAGATGCCATTCATTTAAATAAAGAGAAAGTTTTTAACTGGAGGAAACCATTGGCCTGTTGTCTTCAGAAAGCTCCAGGAGAGCTCAGTATTACAGTCTGAGCAACAAAGTATCACAGGGACAAGTTAACTTCAGATCCCTGACTAAATTTACCCCCCACTGTCTTCCAGGCACATCTTCCTGGACACCAGGTGAGAGCATGAGGTCCCTCTCATCCTCTCCTCTGATAGAAACACACGTGGGGAGCATACCCATGTGACAGTCAGAGGCGTCCTCATCACATAGAAAGGCAGGGACATTCTATTATTGACAGTATGTTAATTGAGTGAACTTTGTCTAGACTGGACTTGACTATGTGACTGATAGTAAAAATAAAAGAAGAATCAGCAGTTAGGAAGAGAGCTCAAATATTTGTAAATTATTAAAATCAAATGATTTCAAATTAAATACATCTTCATTTCTCCCACCCATTTGTTCATTTGACAACATT